ACAAAAATCATTGAATATTCAAGCAGAATTGTACTACCTGATGCAAAACTTCTGCTGCTCTGTGGATTTTTGCAAACATGAAAATACAAAAATTTTAAAAAGGTGAAGATTTAGAGATGCTGCTAAAATTATGCCATTATCATCCCCAGGTAACTATACGGCGTTTAATGAGGTAGCAAAGCATATGAAGTAGAAATTAGTCCAGAAATTAGTGATGTTTCTGAATGATCATATTAGCTCAAGAGTACTTAGGGCTGGCATTGTAAAAGGAGTCTAAGGTAGGTAGATGCTAAGTTTAATGTGATTTGGGGACTTGGGGGGGTTCAACTGCCTGTTTCTCTTGGGTTTCTCAGGAATCCCAGCTGCTCTCTGTATACTCGCACATCGTAATGGTCTGTCTGTCTGATATCAGTAGATCCTCCTCTTTATGCAGTATGTACTGTCTCAGTCTGACCCTGGCTCAGACCTGCAACTAGTGGCTTTGTCTCACATTTATCAGAGAAACTAAGCTCTGTCCATTAGATAATTTATATACTGCAGCTGTTTTTCAATCAAAGTTACCCAGGACACACTTGAGCTATTTTGTATCCCTTGCTGTGCCGAGAGCTTCAGGCAACGACCCAAAGTCATTGTCCTGGCTGCAGGTATTATCCTCATACCATGCCCTCCACTTCCCCTGCTTGAATCCAGACATCCCGTTGGCAGGGGAAGAGAAAACATCACGACCAGCACCGATGAACTGGGAAACTGTCCCTACATGGCATGGAAAGAGCTGTGGGAAAGGATCAGTATGGAAAAGGCTGTATGGCCTTTCCTCAAGTCTGCTCTGCAGCTTGTCATAAATGAGATAATGTGAGACTATGCCAAAAGGCAACATGATACAAGATAGGGTGTGTTGTGTGGTATTACAGAAAGGGCATGTCGTAAACATTACAGAGAGGAATTAGCTGATGCCCTCATGTGAAGATTGCTAATCTGTGGGCTGTTTGTTTATAAAGATTCTGTTGGAATTTTTTCAGACTCCCTCCACCCCGCTCTGTTTATAGCTGCCTTTTGTCCTTTTCTGCCTTTTCCCAACTAGTACACCCAGTACTATCATCTCACATCAAAACCCTTTCCATTCCATGTAGTAGACCTGCTGCGATGGTGTCAGGCACTATGCCAGCTGCCCCTACCAGCCAGAAAATTCACCTCACATTCCCTCAAATAACTTTAAAGAGCTCCTTTCACCTCTGCTGCATTCATATCTCCCTAAATATACCCTCTGCCTCATAAGGTCTGGCATTATAATTCCTGACCTGGTTGTTACTCAGTTCAGCAAGGTGTTACCGGCACAATCATCTGAACAGAGATAAAAGAAGCAGGTACAATCTGTCTCATGCAAGATGAAATGCCTTGCTGGTTTGCGAATTAGCTATCCTATATTGTTTTTCCATTTGTCTCATCATCTCTTGAATGATGGAGACTCCTACAAAAGCTCCCTTTTGACATATTTCAGATCTCCATTTTGTTGTTTATGTAGTAGATATTTCCAGTTTAGGTATTACTTAATATCAGGCCCCTAAGGACCTGATAATTGAAACAGTTAAAGAAGCTTGAGTTTAGCACCCTGCATGGAGGTCATGCCTGGGAGAGGTTTGATTCAAGAACAGCACTTTCTCTGTGCCACTGAGAATAGGAGATATATAGAGTATATAATGCCAGACACTGTGGAGGAGAGAAGGAAGGTAAGAGAACTGGATGCTGTGCAAGATATGAAATAGTGTGTTCAGATGTGGAAAAAAGGGGCAATCTCCTGTTTTCTTTCTTCAAGGAGTTAATGATGGGCTCAACAGTTAAATTCTGTTGAGCTATGCACATTGTAATAGAGACGTAATGCTCCTCCAGGAAAAGATCTTTGTGTTATGGTGTGGAACACCATATTTGGCTGCACCAAATACATCAAAATAATCTAGGCAGGCCCAGAAGATGGTAAAGAAAAAGTAATTTTCTTCTAAATATTGGATGTTTACTACATTTCTGCAGGAGAAAAATGCTCTGTGTTTTAAATGATCACTTTTTTGGCTTTTACAAAACGGTATTTCTTTTGTCTAGAAACTACAAGATACAATGTTATTATTTTCAGGGTTTTGTTTAAAATTTGATTATTATTTTTGCAGGATATGTTAGCAGGAACTAGTATCTTAGTAATTTTGTAGGCTTTTTTGAGCATCTGTAAAAATAATAAGTTGAACTGATCCTTAACACAACTAATAACTCCCCAAGCCCAGCAATTAGTCAACTATAGGATGAGCATGAAGATACTAGGTAGGCTTAATTGCATATATTCATTGAGAATCAATAGTAAAAGAATGGTGCTTGCCTTTGACTGCCAATGGTTAGAACCGATTGTAATCTTGTGTTAATTTAAGACTACTTTCCCTTCCACCTGCTTGAACTCATGGGATTTTTAGCAAAGTTTCTCTGCCTGCCTTTCTGGAACTCACTTTTCATTTCTGATGAATTTAAAATCAGTGGACCAGAGAAGGAGAGCAGAGGTTGCAATATGGGAGATGCAACAGAGGGAAACAGACTGAAACTCATCCAAAATGTAAAAAAAAAACCAACAAAAAACACTACAGCAAATTGAACCTCACCCTCTAAACCAGAATGCTACTGATCTTAACTATGTTCCAGCAGTGTGATGCGGTTATGACAAAGGCAAATACAGTCCTGCCTGCCAGACAATACCTACTCTGATTGCAAATCTCACAGCTGACCCTGGACCGCCTGCCTCCGCATGGGCGATTAACGCTTTGTGTTGGATGTGACTGACACACAGATAAGATGGGACCTTGTCCCCGGCCTGTAAAGCACCCTGAGCATGCTGATGCTGCTCACCTCCACAAACCCCAACTCAAGAGCTGCTGGTGGTGCTCTCAGCTGCTTCTCTGATTGCTCTGATGGGAGGCTCTGCATCCCCCCTGCTACATCAAAACCACCTCCTCACCCAGTCACAGGGATTCAGGTATCACGTGGCTGGTAGCTTTGGCTGTTAAATAAAGACTGGATTTTTTTACTAAATCCTGAAGCTTTCCTTCTCCTTTCAGCGTCTGAAATCACCCCGGGGTAAGGGGGGAACACTTGGTGCAGTGACAAGTAGCCACAACTCGGTGCTAAGTCCTGCCAAACTTTTCCTGGCAGCTTTGTAATATGCTCATGCCAAACAGATGATAAAAGCTGGCAGTTACGGGTGTATTTTGTGGTGCAACTCATGGCTGAGAGGAAAAGCTACATTGAAGAAAGCAGCTCATTCCAAGCTCTTACACTGACCTGCCCAGACCATTTTATCTTCACCTCTGTCTCCTATACCACCATCATCTATATTTAGTGTATTAGGTTTTAATAGTGGAGGCTGTCTCTTTTAGTGTTTGCAGAGTACCTAACACAGTGGGCTTACAGTTAGGAATAGACCCATACAACTGCTATTAGGACAAAACTCTAATGAGCCCTTGGCTGTGGTGTGTTCCACAACAATGTGGGCTCTTAGACACTCCTTGATTAAATGTTTTCATACACACACACACACACACACCCCCCCTGACTCTTGGGATCATGCAGAGTCTAAATGGAGCACAGAAATCATGGTGTCATGTGGAACAAAAGAGAATTTGACATTTCCCTGGTAGAGAACACTTAAGTCTGTTACTTTTGGAGACAGTCCTGCTATGAAAGCCTGACATTTTAAAAAGTTTCCCCCTGTGACAGAGGAAAAAAAATGGTACTGGGGGTCCCAAATGAAGGAAACGTAATTGCAGAATTTTTCTGCAGGAAAACCTTTCTGTTTCAAAGCTCTTCTGAAGAGTGACTAGAACAGCCCACGGGGGGTTGGACTTCCTCCCAAATCCTACTTTTGAGAAAGGTAGTCTAAATTCTGTTTTGCTTCCTTAAGCCACATGTATTTATCCATTACAATTCTATAGCAGCATAAATAGCCACCTTAAAGCCAAACGGTCCATTAGTAATGAATCTTTATCCCTTAAGCAATACGATGCACTTGAGTTATGATTTGCCAGTTGCCGGTCCTTGTAAACACGTAGGACTACACCATTTCCGTTTTATTCTGAGATTCATTCCAGTGGGGACAGATGATCAAATCCAGACCTCACATCACTCTAACCACGTTTTACTTCCTCCAGCTTAAGAGTGTGCCCTGACAAAAGGCAATACAGGCTGTACCAAACCAAAGCCAGAACGTAAAACTGAGGGTGGCTCATAGCAGTGCTATAACTCTGCCTTCTCTCCCTGTCCCCATATCTCCTCTCAGCTCTCTGTGGCTAGCAGGGATGACAGTGGGGAGATTAAATTCTTTCTTTCTGTTTTACAGGGTAACTTATTTGTCCACTCTGCCCACCGCAGGCTACTTCTGCTGATGCCTGCACAGGGAGGAGTCCCACTCGGTCACTGAACAAAGGCTCAAAGCACCATACAACAGGCAGCCAGGTCCTGCTCTTCCACCCGCCACCAAATTTCAAGCAATGATCCCTCCCTTCCAGATGACTCTTGCTAGCAACCAGGATTCAAAGCTATGTCTGTTTCTGTCATGCTTAGTTGGCTTTTAACTGATGTATCACTTAATTGCAAAAAACACTGGCAGAAAGCAAGCTGCCTTCAGCTTTTGGGCCTTGATTTTCAGTGTTATTTAGATTCCAAATAGGCATTTGATGGCACAGCCAAAAATATAAAAAGGAGATGACTGTGATTTTGACCACCTTCCATGAAGCCTTCCTGACTGGTTTAATGTTCTGCACGGAAACCTCTCTCTCATTTCCTAGATGGATTTTACTCCTTTGCTAAAGAGACAGTGGAAAAAAAACCTACATGTCATTTAAGTCCTCAAATTGAAGCCAAAATGACTTTTGAAGGATGAATAGGTGTTGCAGATAGGGGTATTCTTTTTCTCATGCCTTTATTGATACAATTTCCTACTCTGATACAGCTATTTTCTTTTTGATTTCTAGTTTTTTCTAACAGAATACACCGGGCCTCTTCTAATATATCTGCTCTTTTATATTCGTCTCTCAACTATTTATGATCAAGTGGAAAGTACAAAGAACTTCCGCCACCCAGTGGTTCAGTAAGTGACGCTTGCGTGAACTATTTTCCTGGAGGACAGGGAGCCAGAGGGATGGAGACTGCATTTCCAGGGCTGAGGAGGTTACAGGGGGTGTGAGGATGCATGCCTGGTCTCAGAGTCAGCGGGAGTTTCAGACCGTTCTTATCAATAGCGGTTTGGCATTTTAGCAGCACTCATAAGCCTGACCAAAAATGGGATCCCAGTTGCAGTGGTCACTGCCCCTGGTCACAATGGGAGACGTAGTATTTTCCCCAAACAGTCTGCACTCTAGACACACAGCCAGAACAGAAGGTGAAATAATAAACACAGCGGGCAGTAACCCAAAGTCACACTTGACAGAGAAGAGGACAAGACTTCAGGTGTCCCACTCCCAGTCTCTTTACAGTACATTCCCACTTATAAGATGAGTAGCATCAGCATCCAGCACAGAAGATAACTACCCCCACGCCAGCTCTCACCTAGGCACAACAAGGAGGAATTTTGAGAGGTCTGAATGTCATGAGTCAGGTGAAGGACAACTGAGAAACTCAAAAGAAGCATCACGGGAATTCAGAACTAGTGATGTGATTTTTGAAACTTACCTCTTTGAACTGTAATTGTTCCCCAGGGCCTTATGCAACATATTTGAGTTCTGAAAGACTTTTAAGAAATAAAACACTTAAGTGACAAACAAAAGTAAGAGCTCAGCCACTGTTATAGAACAATGATGAGCACAGGTTGTATCTAGCTGTACAGAAACAAATCAGAGGAGCTCATATATAAGCATAAACCAGATAGCTTTGCTTTTCTCCATCACTGGAACAGTAATGCTAACAAGGAAAATTAAACAGCTTCAATGTAATACAGGAGGAGCTGACCACAGGGAAACACAACCTGCTTAGTCTGCTAGAACTCAAAAGCATACCAAAAAGCAACAAAGAGAGGACAGCCAACCAAGATAGCTTTTTATGATCTTCGACAGCCCCTGCCATTCCCAAGCTTTTTGAAGGACTCTGGAAGAAACAAAGCAGACCTGATCAATAGGAGGGAGTAAGAACCGTTACAGACAAGAAAGTGGCAAGCAGCTACACACGATAACTGCCAGGGAGGCTCAAGGCACTGCCACCACCAACTGTACCCCTCCACAGGATGGTGGTTAATGCACCAGCCAGGCTGGGAACTTTCACACTTAGGGAACTTACTCCTCTTCACTGTGATTGTCCCCATCCTGGGGGATTAGCGCCTGGCAGAGGTGTGGAACATGATCAAGGAAAACCTGTTGGCTGCATAAGTTGGAGCACTGGAAGTGAGAGGGCACACAGGGAACTAGGAGCCTCAAGGAACTGTACAGCTTTCCCACAGCACTCTT